GAGCGCAGGAGTCTGGGCAGCCCTGCCTCCTTCACCAGCACCCTCACTTGCTGCGAGTGTGCGCATGTGCGTGTGTGTGTGTGTGTGTGTGTGTGTGTGTGGTTGGGGGGGGGGGTTTGGGAAGCCAGCGCAGTGGGAGGGCCCAGGATGCACAGCTGCAGCCTGAAGCAGCACACCCACTTCCTGAGACCCTAATTGGCCGCTTCCCCTTGACTTGCAGGGAGGAGCAGCGTGCAGGGACCCTGAGCTGTCCCCAGAGCTGTCCCCGGAGGAGAAGAGGGTCCTAGAGAGGAAGCTGAAGAAGGAGCGGAAGAAGGAGGAAAAGAAGCGCCTGCGGGAGGCGGGCCTGACCACGGCCCAGAGCCTGCCAGCCAAGCGCTCAGGTGCCCAGCTGGCGCTGGACTACCTGTGTGGGTAAGAGGCTGAGGCTGGGGCGCTGGCTGGGCTGCGCCTCGAGGGAGCACGTCTGCTGCCCTGGGAGGGATGCAGGCTGTGGGCTCCGGCGGCCTGGTTGGAATCTTACTCTCCTGGGACTGCCGCCCGCCTGGTTGTGCATTGCTTCACAGCGTCACCTCACGTGGTCTCACGTGGCTTGAGATCCGCAAAAGTTGCCAAGGCCACCAGTGGGGATTGCAGACCTTCACCAGCACAGCTGTGTCTGCGGAAGGGCAGGTTGTGCGTGGAGAGGGCACCACCCGCTGGGCAGGACTTGAAGGGGAGAGGAAGCCTGTCACCAGGGCTGCCGGGCCCCCACGGGTGCGCCCAGGGGACCGCCCAGAACCTGGCAGAGGCTGGCCGCATTTGCAAACACAGCTTTGTACAACAATTTTCAGAAGCCCCTGCAAAAATGAGGCCTCTGGAAACCACCGGTTTCTGTTGCAAACTGGCTGGGCAGTGGCATCCCAGCAGAGCCTGGTCCGGCTCTTCTCCTGCCTCTCCAAATACTCGCTGCCCAGGAGACCAGGGCGGCCAGCCCTCCCGGAGACTGCTCATCACGGATGCCTGAGCCGCTCTCTGATCTATTTACTGTCTCTGTGGCTTGCCTGTCCTGGCATTTCGTATGCACACGCGTCCGGCGTGCAGAGTGGCAGACACAAGGATTCGTTCCGCCTGGGGGTCCCTCCTGCAGAGCGCGCTGGGACCTGGCAGCTCCTGTCTCTTTCCACCTTGACGGGGTGCCCTGTCCCAGCCGCCGTGCGCCCAGCACGCAGCCCCATCCCCAGCACAGCTGCCCAGGTGGGCCCACGTCCAGTGGGGCAGGGCCGACCATGGCTGAGTGTGGCCCGACCCCAGTGTCATCCGCTTCAGCCTGGCACAGCCCTGAGGGACCTCCATGGGTCTTGGTGTGCTGTCCCCTTCTGAGGGCGTGTACCATAGGATCTATGAGTAACAGGGTCGGCAGTTTTCATTAAAACCTACCAATTTCCTTACAGGAAATATCTCTAATTAAGTCACCCCCTTTCCTCACAGAGGGTTGCGTGGGGCCCTTCCTCACCCTACAGAAGCCACAGGTTGCCCGTGGTCCAGATGGAGCTCGGGCGGGCTTGAAGGCCCCGGTGCAGGGCGAGTGGCCTTTCCCGCGGGGCAAGGACCCCAGCGGAGAGCAGGCAGGTCCTGAGCAGCCCCAGGCCGGCTCGGTCCGCTGGCGTGGTGCAAGCATGCTGGAGGCAGCCTGTTTCTGGGTCAGATCGGCTCTGAGGCAGAACGAAGGATGCTGCCCACAGCCTGGAGCCCCCAGCTCACACCTGGTCCCAACCCAGGCCCTGGAGTGGACTTGACCCCCATCAGGCAGATGCAATGTTGTGCAGTGAAGACTGAGCTGAACAAAAGCATCATTTTCTCCCACTGCCCGGAGAGGGGACAGTGGGGGGGCAGCTCGGTGTCACTGTGACAGCCCTGCTCTCAGGAGGTGACTGCAAGCGGGAGCCGCCACACGTGGGAGGCTGGGAGGGCAGTGGAGGGCAGCCCTGAGGACAGCGGTGTCAGGAGGGGCCGAGTGAGTCGCTCATGCTGATATGAGGGGTGATCGAAACATACGGTGAATGCTGCCGAGCGCCATCCAATGGAAAGGCAGGATCCTCAATATGGGAAGCGACACATCGAACCTTAGTAACAGTGTGCGACAAGTTCCAACTTGTTCAGTGCAGTCAGTCAGGCGTGAGCTACGGTTGAGAGAAGGTGTGCTTTGAAGTGTGCCTTTAGGGCCGGCCGAGTAGCTCAGTTGGTCAAGAACTAGCACAAGAGTGCGAGCTCTGAGCAACAGGGTCACCGGTTCCATTCACGGCCTGAGCTGAGCAGCCACTGAGCTGCCAACAGGTGGCAGGATGGCTCAGCTAAAAAAAATAAAAAATAAAATAAATAAATAAAGTATGCCATAAATCACTCTCCATCATGACAATGCTCCGTGTCACACATTGCTTCTGGTACGGCAATTTCTGTCAAAAACATTACGGTGTGTCCTCATCCACCTTATTCACCGGATCTGGCACCGTGTGACTTCTGGCTCTTTCCCAAAGTCAAATGAACATGAAAGGAAAATATTTTGAATTGATTCAGGACATAGAGGCAGTCACGACAGTACAACTAAAGACACTTACGAAAGAGGACTTCCAGAACTGCTTCAGAAAGTGGCAAGAACAATGGGATAAGTATGTTTGAAGCGAGGGGGAGTATTTTGAGGGGGATTAATGGCAAGGTGTCTTTTACTGTAATAAATGTTTTAAATTTAAACATTCACCATATGTTTTGTTTTTGTTTTTTAAGCTGAGCCATCCTGCTGCCTGTTGGCAGCTCAGCGGCTGTTCAGCTCGGGCTGGACTCGAACCGCTGTTGCTCAGAGCTCAAACTCTTGAGTGAGCTCTTAACCAACTGAGCCACTCGGCCGGCCCTTCACCATATGTTTTGATCACACCTTGTTAAGTGCTAGAACCCAGAAGTGAATTCAGGCTGGGGCTGTGGTGTCTGGTCCCTGGGAGGACAGTGGTGGCCCATTCTGGCCTGGGTCCTGCTCTGTGACTGCCATGTGAAGTGCCCATGGTCCCAGGCAGCCGTGGTCTGGGCTTGGGCAGTTCTTCTGTCACTTGACATGATGTTTGCTTCTACCTGAGCCCCACCAGGTGGGAGCCGGCCAAGCTGCCGTCCAGAGAGAACCAACCAGGGCCCTCCCCACGTCTGCCTGAGGGGAGGCAGTGAGCCTGCTGCTAGAACAGCCTGTGCCCATGTCCCCATGGTCACCATGCCCCCGAGTCCCAGACACACAGACCCCTCTTCACCTCGGGCCTCTGTCCCAGTGTGTGGGTCTCATCTCGGAGAGCCCGGCCCTGCTGTCCTGGCCAGAGCAGCAGCCCAGCCTGCTGTGTTTCCTCCACAAACTGACACCTGGAGTTCCCTGCTTCCTCAGTCTCCCACCCCTCCAGGTGGGTTCCAGCCTGGGGTTGGCGGGTGCAGGCCGGGCCGCTCTAATAGGTACAGGGCTGACACAGCCAAGGCTTCTGTCACTGTCTCTGACATCTGAACAGCCCGGCCCGGCGTGCCTCTCAGGGGCGGGGTTCCTGGCTCTTGATGGCTCTTCCACACCCTCCATGCGTAGCTCACAGTCTGAAGGTTTCCCCACACCAGCAGATGCTTCTGGAAGAATGACAGGATTCACGAAATTCAGGATGCTCACGTTAAAATCATGGAGTTGTAGAGCTGGAAGGAAGTGGCCCGGGCCATCTGGCCCTTCCGTCCGGTGCAGATGTGGAGATGGGCCTGGCTTGGCTGAGCGCCCACAGCGGGTGTGCAGAATGGGGCCCCTGGCCCCCTCTGCTCTGTGTCTGCCACCCTGGGGCTGGGGAGGGTGCTCCCCAGAACCCCTGCAGACACCCCCCCATTCCAGCCAAGTAGAGGCCACCCAGGCCAGCCGTACAGACAGACCCTTTGGGCTCCTTCTGTCTGGCATCTGAATATCGTGTCCTTGCTTTCCCAGCTGGGCCAAGAACCACGAAAACTGGAGATTTCAGAAGACGAGGCAGACCTGGCTCCTGACGCACATGTATGATGGTGACAAGGTGAGCACACGGGCGTGAGGCAGGGGGCAGGGGAGAGGTCTGCACAGCAGGGCAGATTGTCACCATTATCTTTTCCTCCAGTCTCCTTGTCCTTGCTGTTTAATCTCTAAACACTTATCTATTTACTGCTGATTTAGTGGCATTTCAAAAGGGTCTGAAAAAGGATGGCTGCCAGCCTCAAGCCAGAGCCTGAAATAGCCCCGAGCTAGGCGAGGACGCTGGAGCAGGTGGCTCTCCGTCTCCCGCCTGCCCCCGGCCTGTCCTGGAGCGATGGAACTGAGGGGAGCAGGTGTGGTGCTTGGGCCCTTTGCAGATGGCGTGCCCCGAGGTCGATGTGGTGCCCAACGCTGCCTGGCCAGCAGACTCCTCAGGCCCTGGCATGAGGCACAGGGGGGCACCCTGGGACACCAGCCACAGGGCTCCGCGGCCATCTTGGCGCCCCACTGCTGTGTTCACCCTGCCTGGCGACTCAGCAGCTCCCGTGTCCCCCTGTCCAGGTCCCTGAGGAGCAGTTCCCCATCCTGCTGGCCTACCTGGAGGGGCTGAAGGGCCGGGCCCGCGAGCTGACCGTGCAGAAGGCAGAAGCCCTGATGCGGGAGCTGGACGAGGCGGGCGCTAGCGGCCCAGACTCCCTCCTGCTGGACAAGACCCAGCGCGTCCGGCAGGTACTGCAGCTGCTGTCCTAGGGCGGCCGGCGGGTGAGGACTGCCACACGGCGAAGGTGGCCCTGCAGCTGACCGCTCCTTCCAGCCGAGGGAACGTCTGCTGCTCTGCCAGGGAGCCAACCTTCCTGCCAGCTGTGGTCCATCCGTGCTGGGCTGTGGGAAGCCCCCGGCTCTGGGCCCCGTGCATCAGTCCAGGGTTCTCTCCTGTGCAGACTGCACATTTCCTAGTCACCAGCCCGCCCTCACTGAGACTCCTGGGCTGTGTCCGTTCCATGTCCTGCCTCCTTCCTCAGACCATGGCACGGCCTCCTGCCCAGTTACAGGGAAAACCTGCTGTTTTCAATAAAAGCAGCCCAGGTCGGCTGTGTCTCCTGGCTCATCCTCACTGGCTTGTAGCCTGGGAAGGGCTTTACCTGCGGGGAGCGTGCCAGGCTGCGAGGCTGTCTGCAGCCGTGGCCTTCACGGGACAGCATCCAGGCGATATGTCGGCGCTGACCCCTTGCTCTGCAGGCCTGCCACTTCCAGGTGTTGGCAGTGACCACGACGGCTGCCCTCCCACAGCTGTCCCAGCAGGAAATACACCTGCTCTCTGCACAGACAGGGGACCTGCCGCCCTGCTCCCAGAAGTGTGCGTGCGTCAAACCCCCTGGAATTGCAGGGCCTGAGCGCCAGAGGCTGCATCACTGGTGGTCGCCTGCATCCCCATAAGCAGGCTCTTCAGACCGTGGGAAGTGGGCTGTGGGTGTGGCGGCCCACTGGGTGTCGACGCCCTGCTCTTGAACATGGTCAGATGGCAGCGAGGGAGGAGGTAGAAATGCACCCTGTGACTTCCAGGGCCAGGGCAGAGGAGGCAGCTGCCACCTGTGCTCAGGGCACTTGCCCTTGGGACACGGCCACCATGCTGTGAGGAAGCCCTGGCTGCATGGCGAGACCACGTGTGATACGGATGTTTGAGCGGTGATGAGTCTTTAGTTGCCCTGGTGACCCTGAGTGAAGCAGAGGTGAGCTGTCCCCACCGTGTCTCGCTCACATTGTGGGTTTGTGGACCGTGTGGCTGGGGTGCAGTGGGTGCCTGAGCACTAACACTGCCAGCTGCACAGCCGTGTCCTTAGTGATGGTGAGTGAGGGCTGGGCCTGTGCAGAGAGCCTATCCCAGAGTCAGCTCCGGGCCTTCCTATGGCCATTCCTAGCCTGGCTGGGCCCCCCGGCCGGCCGTGGGCCTTGGAGACCCCACCTCAGCACGGCGTCCCAGCTGTGGCTGGTGCCCTGCAGGCCTCTGTGCTTCAGCCTGTTACTGCGAAACACGGTGTTGAGGGGTGCTTCTGAATGGCGAGGGTGGGCCCTGAGGAGGGACGACCCCAGCCCAGGAGGGACACACACATCCAAAGGGGCCTGGGCAGGTCCCTCACTGACCACTCGTGCCTTTCCCTCTTCTCTTCTGCAACCCGGAGCCATCCCACCTCCCGTCCAGCACACATGCCTCATCAGCACCCCCACTGTGGAAAGCCCTGGTGCTCTGCTGCAGCCTTGGGGGGCCTGTCCCCCGTCTGCTGGTGCAGCTGAAATCCTGATCACATGAACACACTTGAACACGCTCACATACACCCACATGTACACACGTGCTCACGTGTACACACATGCTCACACATGTGCACAGCCTCACATGCACACACGCCGTGCATAGAGCTCTGGGACTTAGACCACCCTGAGCCAGGACCTGCTCTCGTCCCACATTTGGCTCCTGCAGGGCGGCTGGCAGTGGCTCTGCTGGCTTCTCGATGGCAGAAGGGGGTCTCCCCTGGGAGTGTCCCAGGGGGCTGGGGACCTGAGGCCCCAGCCTGTGTGTGCCCTGGAGAGTTTGCCTATAGTTTTGGGTTTGGTTTGGGTTTTTGTGGACTTAAGAGGCACCTGCAGAGTGGTTGGGGGCCAGCACTGGAGCCAACAGCGGATCTGGGGCCAAGAGCCACCCTCCAGCCCCGGAGGTCCTCCCTTCGAGACCAAGAGGCAGGGGTGCTGAGCACAGGTGTTCAGAGAGCCCGTCTGCTCACCCTCCCAGCCCTGCGCCCAGCTCTACCCCTGCTGACCCACAGGGGAGCCTTTGCCGATGAGCCTCACCTGGTCAGGACCAGGCTGCAGGTGGGGCTGGGTGGGCGGGTCCTCCCTCATCCTGTCTCCATGTGATAAGTGAAACGAAGCTGGGTAGCTGCTCACTATTTTTATTAAATGGTGTTTTCCACTCTTGAGGATAGTACATTGATACTGCTCAGTTTTTGGGGGGAGTCTTGGCCGTATCCGTTGTGGAAGTCCTGACACCTACATTGGCCTGTTTCTTTGTGGGTGAAACGGGGTGAGACATCATAGAATTGCGTCTAGGGGGGCTCAGGATGGTGGGGGTGACAGTTTCATGGATCAGACAGATGTGGAGATGAGGATGGTGCACCAATGGCCGTGGGGTGATCCTCACGGGCCTGCGGGGGAGGGAAAGGGTGAGGGGGCGGGGCCAGCTCTGCACCTGGGGCTCTGCCTGCTTGGGGGGGGGGGTTGGCAGGGAAGGGCCTAGTGCTCAGGTGTGGGGCCTGGAAGACGGTGTGCCCCCAGGGGCCCCCACGAGGCTCGTTTCCAGCCCCCTTGGATGGGGCTGCTCAGGCCCACAGTGGAACTGAGGCTGCCAGGGAAGGAGAGCCCTGTGACATCTGTCTGTTGCCCGTCTGTCTGTCCTCTGGCTGCTGTCTGCCTCCGATGTCACAGCTCTGCCAGGCTTGGAGCTGGGGAGGCGGGAGCGTGACCCAGCACAGGCCAGACGCCCCTTGGTCAGCGCCCCTGGGGCCTGGGCACTGCACACAGCGCCTGGGCCGGTGGCCGCATGGTGAAGGCTGGGGTGGGCGTGGTGTCCAGGCCGGCAGGGCTGAGGCCCAGCGGGGGCAGCAGACGGAACCTCTGGAGGAGGCCAGCGAACAGCACGAACAGCTCCGTCCTGGCCAAGCTCTCCCCCACGCAGACGCGGCGGCCTTCGGGGGAAACCGAGGCACGGGGTGGGGATGCCAGGCCTGCTCTTCCCACAGCCTGGCTCCTGGAGTGGGGGGGAGGGGCTGCAGGGAAGGAGGGCAGCCGGAGAGCAAGGCCTGGAGCAACTGGGACACGGGTCAGCTCTGAGCCTGAGCTGCTGAGGTCCCTGTGCCACCCCGCAAGGGCTATGGTACCTGCAGAGAAAGGCAGGAAGGCGGCCCGCTTCACAAAGCACCCGCTGGCGTCCAGGAAGTGGCCAGGGTTGAACTGGCGGGGGGTCTCCCACTGCGTCTTGTCCAGGAGCACAGAACTCAGCAGGGGGACCACGGGTGTGCCCTGCGGGCGGGCAGCAGGTGGGGCCAGGTCTAGGTGCCTTGTCCACCTGGGCAGGCCCCAGACTGCAGCACTGGGAAGGGTCCCCGAGGAGGGTGGGAAGTTGGGCAGGCCTCTCAGCCCCTGCCTGCGGGAGGTCTGCTGGAGGATGGGCTCCTGAGTTCCCCAGCGTCAGCCCCATTTCTCAGCAGGCCACACAGTAAGACCCCAGCTCTCTGCTTCTGAACCCCCTCTCCTGCATCTCAAGGGAGCCCTGGCATCAGGCACTCCAGAGTCCGTCCTCCCCCCCACCCCCCCAGTGGACGACTGAGGTAGGCCTGGCTGCCTCACCTTGGGGAGCAGGTAGCCGTGCAGCTGGGTGTCGGCCACTGTGCAGCGGGGCACGTGGGGCAGGAGAGTGATGAACCTCTGCACCTCGTGCAGCACGGCGTTGGTGTAGGGCAATGACCGCTGGTCCTCCGGCCGGGGCGGCCGCCTGGGCCCCAACACCCGGTCCAGCTCTTCCTGCACCCGGCCTGCATGGGAGTGGGCAGCGTCCCTGGCAGCCTCCATCCCCTGGGCCCTGGGGGACCCCCGCCCAGCAGGTGGGAGGGGCCTCCCTGGCAGAGCGCTGGGACGGCTTGCTCACTCACCCTGCACACTCGGGTGCTTGCCCATCAGGAGGGCGGCCCACTGCAGCGTGGCCGAGGTGGTCTCCGTGCCGGCCATGACCATGTCCAGGACGCAGGCCACCACATTGGTCTGGGCAAACAGGCCATCCGGGTCTCCGCCCTGCAGAGGCGGGAGGGCAGAGCTCAGCGGGAGGCTGGACCCCACCACCCGCCAGCCCTGGGCTCGAAAGGGGTGGAAGACAGACTTGGCGGGAAGGACAGAGGCGCGCCAGCACCAGCTGGCTCGGGGCTCACGATCCCCCGGCCGCTCCAGCGGCAGGCACTGTGAACCCCCACTTCACAGGTGAGACCGGGGCTTAAAGAGGCCCCCAGCCAGGACGCGCAGGAGCCTGGTGCAGGACCAGCACGGACCCCTCCTGGAGTGCGGCCCCGGGGCGACCCCCAGACCTCCAGGGGGCGGGGTGGGGGTGGGCTGGCCACACCTGGCCCTGCCGGATCAGGGCATCCACGTAGCTGTGCACGGGGCCTCCGCCGGGCGCGGGTGGCCGCCGCGCCTCCAGGAGCGTCGTCAGGATGGCTCGCACCTCCTCGATCTTCCGCAGGACGGGCCGGTGCAGCCGGAGGAGGGCCCCGAGCCGGGGGTAGATGTTGAACAGCTGGTGGCGGGGCGAGACGTGAGACGGCGGGGTGGGCGGGAGGGGCGTGTCGCCTGTCCTGCAGCCGGGCGGGCCGGGTGCCTGGTGCCTCCCGCGGCCGCAAGAGGGCGCCCGGCGCGGGGCGCGGGGCCCCACAGCTCCACCTGGTGGGACCGGCTTGACAGGTAACACACCTGGGGGCGTGCAAGTTGCAGCAGGAGACTAATCACACCCCTTGCTCTCTATCTCCCCTAAACTGGCAAAGGGGGGAGGGTTGCCACTGTGGAAATAACGGAGTCGGCTGCAAGCCATTAAGAAAGGAAGCACTTGCAGACTTCAGCCCTCTCAGCTCATCCCGCTGTGAAATGGGGCTCACAGCCGGGTCTCACAGGCTGTCTGAGGGGTGCTGTCCCGGCTACACCTAGTACCGGTGTCCCCAGGAACTTGACGATCCCTGGGAGCAAACAGGTGGCAGCTCAGCGGTGAGGAGCCCGCACAGGGACGGAAGGCTAGAACATTCCGCTTGCCTTCCTCCTGGGGGCTCCCTGGCTGCACTGGGTCAGCTGGCCTTCAAAGGAGGCGGAAACTCCTGCCCGACCCGACAGCAGAGGCCCCCTGACCAGGATCAGGACTCAGTGGTGGAGGGATAGGGATGAGGCGCCTCTGAGCTAACACACACACACACACACACACACACACACACACACACACACATATACACACACACGGCTGCCGTAGTTATAGTTGGGATGGTGAGGTAACTGCACAGCAAGGGAACGTGGCCACCGGTGGCACTGGTAACAGCGAGGGGAGGGCAGGGACTAGACTCGTGGGCGTCACTTCCTCAGGTATATAGCTGTCTAACCACCGCGCTGCACACTTGCGACTAATGCAAAATAATATTGAATGTCAGCTGTAACTGAAAAGTAAGTGACACAAAAATTAATTGAAGGAAATCTTGAAAGAAAGAAAAATGGTAAGGTCGCTGCAAACACGGACATTCTAAGTGGTGGGAAATGGTGTGCTCAAACCCGACTTCTGAGACTCAGAAGGGGCTTGTGACCCCGACACTGCGAAGGGCCCGTGTGGGGCGAGAGACTTCCCGGGTTGTGAGGGCTCCGGGCCTGCGGGCATCAAGCCCAGACCCTGGCCCCCTCCCCCCAACCTCTGAGCAGATACAGCTTGCTGATGGGCAGGTGTGTGTGGGGTGATGGGGACCACCGGCCCTAGAACCTCTCCTTTCCCAGATTGCATGGGGGGCTGTCCTGGGCTCGCAGGGCCAGCCAATGTGTCCAAAGCAGGACCTGCACATGAATCCAGTGCCGCCTTTGCAGGGCAGCTCACCTCTCAATGGCGGGCAGCAGCTGGGACTCAGTCCCCAGCCCCCAACCCCAAGGCCTGGGAGCAGTGACCTCTCACCTGCAGGCCAGGGGTCCCCAAGAGAACCATGACCTCATTGATGAGGCCCAGCAGGGACACGAACACAGGGTCCCGGTAGTCAAACCGCTGGCCAAAGAGGAGCGCGAAGGTGACATTGGAGGGAGCCCAGCCGAGCAGGGCCAGGGGGAAGGGCCGGCCTGGGGGAGAGACAGGCCTCAGCAAGGGAGGAGGCTTGGGGAAGGGGGTGTCCCCGACCCCCACTTACCTCCATAGTGGTCTAGCTGCCCCACGAGGCACCTCAGCTCCTGCAGGACCTTTTCGGTCACAGGACCCCTCCCCACGCCCAGGCTGTGCAGGGTGCGCACCGTGAACTGGCGGGCGGCCTTCCATCGTGCCCCGGAGGAGAAGAAGATACCTGCGGGGACAGACGGACACGATGCTGAGCAAACCTAGGACATACAGGTGGGGCACAACGGGGCTAGGGGACTGGCTGGGGCCTCACTCCCGTCCCCAACCTGTTTGCCAGGGAACTGGCCTTGGCTGGCCCTGTGCCCCTTCTGGTGTGACATGGTCCCCTATGCACACCCCCGCCTGCCATGTGGACAGCCTCCCCGGGAGCCACACTGGGAGTACTTTCTCCTGCTGCCAGGAGGGAGGGGCCCCTCTCCTCAGCCCCTACACCTCCTGAGGTCCAGGGCTCCCTGCCCAGCAAGCCCCCAGGAGCAGAGCTGGTGACTGCCCCACTCCACCTGGTGGAACCCCTGTGTCCCACACACACACCTACCTCCGCCTCCCTGGATGAGCTGAAAGATGGCAATAGGGGGCCGGCCGGCCAGCTCCTGCCCTGTTTCCACCAGAGCCTCCCTCACTGCCTCGTAGCCGCTCAGCACCACCATCTTCTGGCCCCCCAAGTGGATGGTGAACACCGGCCCATACCGTTCTGAGAGCTGGCAGGATGGGCAGGGATCACCTAGGCGGTCCCCCGTTAGGGCCCCAGGAGTCCCTCTGGCCACACCTGTGCAGGGTGGGGGCCTCTGGCAGGGCCTGTGGGACCGGGCGGGGCGGCAGGGGCCCAGGAACCATGAAGCAGGTGTGGTTGGCTGGAGCCGGGTCTGGGGGCCCCACAGAGCCCTCCCCTCCCCTCCAGGGAGGCAGGGTGCCACCACCGGTGCTCAGGTAGCCGCCGTGGGTTTTCTTTTCAGAGGACACACTTGAGGGGGCTTTTTTGAACCCAAGACAAGGCAGCAGGATCAGAAGGCTGTCTGTTGGGGTGGCCTTGCTGGAAGCCCAGATCTGCACAGGAGCAGGCCCCCTCCCCTCACAGGCCCGCCTGGCTAGTTCGTCTCTGACCTCTCCTACCCAGTGTGAGGGCCCAGAGTGGTAATGCCAGCAAGGGCTGGCCTCTGGGGCCTCCGTGTGTGCCCCTCCCCTTCTGTCCTCACAGCGTCCCTGCCCGAGGTGAGGAGGGCTGTCATCTCCCCACTTCACAGATGAGGAAGCCGAGGCCTGGAGGAGGAAGTGAGCTGCTGTCCACCACATGCACTGAGGGACAGAGCCAGACTCGGACCTGGGCCTCCGTGTGCAGGTCCCTTCTGCAGCAGCATGGTGCCACTCCCAGGAGCGCCTCCCCCTCACCTTCGCTGCCCCAAACCTGGCTGTACTGAAGGCCGTCTTCAAATGCTGACTCCTCCAGGAAGTCCTCCTGCCCCCCTGCTCCTTGGACAGACCATCTGCTTCCCTGTGAGGTGGGGTGTCTTTCTCTTCCCCGAGGCAGGGAGGGCACTTGGACCAGGCCAGTGCCAGGCAGGAACATGAACCTCCTACCCTACAGGTGTCTCGGAAAATGGGGGCTCGGCCTCCCCCAAGAAGGGGTGGGGTACCACAGCTGTCGAGGATGGCAGGAGCCGGGCTCTGGGTCCAGGCTTAGGAGCCAAGCTGCAGGCAGGTTGCCCCGACTCACCTCCATCAGCGACTGGTCCTGCTGGGACAGCCGCAGCAAGTGCAGGTTCCCGAGGAGCGGCAGCGGGCGCGGCCCAGGAGGCCAGCGCGGGGCCAGGCGGGGGCCGCGGGTGCAGGCCCGGAGCAGCACCAGGAGCCCCAGGAGCCCCAGCAGCCCCAGCAGCAGCAGGGCCATGAGGACGGCGGGTATGGGGCCCCAGCTCCCCTCCCTGGGCCCGCCCTGGGCCTTATAGGCCTCTGGGAGGGCGTGCCCGCACCCCACCCACCCCACCACCCCGAGAATGTGGAACGAGCAGTTTGCAGGGGACAGCCAGGCGGCTTAAAGTGACAGGTGTGTGTGGAATGTGGGGTCGAGTCTCTGCAGGGAGCTGGGCGCTGTCTGGGGGTATCCCATCGTCCCTCACACTTCTGGAGAGGGCCCCCCCCCCGGAGGGTCTCAGCCCTCTGCCTCAGCCACCCCATCAGAGCCAGGACTCCCAGGGCTTTGGGACGCAGCCCAGCTCTGAAGAGAGGAGCCCGCCCTCCCCATGCTCTGAGCCTCCCTCCACGGGGCCCCCTGGGGCCCCAAGGTCTGTGGGCTTCTCCCAAACCTAACCCCGCTGTGCCCACCCAGCTCCTCTCTGACAGGGGCCAGTGGGGGTTACCAGGTGTGGAGAGCCTGGGGCTGGCCCATGAGGGTCTGCACAACAGACACCTTCAGAGGTCGCCAACAGTGTTCCCCCCACCAAGGCTCTGACATGAGCTCGCCCTGAGTGACAGTCTGCTCCTTGGTGGCTTTGTAAGCACTGTTACCTGGGGCAGGAGGCACCGGCCTGCACCAGGACAGGGTGGGGCGGGTGGGGGTCCACCCTGCAGGCTGGGGCAGCACCACGGGGTGACAGGTGGCTGGGCTTACAAGCCCTGTCTGTGTGTGCCACGCTCCAGCCTCCTATACCCTGGTGGCCTTGCTGGGAGGGGCAGAGGCATCGCGTTGCAGACGAGCTTTGTGGGGCAGGAGGGCTGTTGGCACCAGAAGTGGCTGGGCCTGCTTCACACCACCTGCCCCAACATGAGGCCCCTAGAACCCCATCCCCACCAGCCTGTCACCACGGGGCCTGTCCCCTGGGGTGCCCCTACACAAACCCCAGAGTCAAGGCAGCCCAAGGGCCCTTACTTCCTCCCGGCCTTAACTTGCACACCTCCTGCATCGGGGCGCTCACTACCTCGCAGGTGGCCTGTCCTGTTGCACAGCTGTGGGTCTGCAGGGAGAGGATGGCTCTCTAACTGTTGAGTTTCCAAGTCACTCAGGCTGAGCGCCTGGTACCTGGGCTGATACCAGTGTGCAGGCTGGGGGTCCTGCCCGCCCACGAAGTTTCAGTTAATGAATTCGGTGAGCATTCATGGAGCGCCTGTGTGTGCGACACTCAGCCAGGTGATAGGGCTACGGAAATGGGTGCTGCAGAGATCCAAAAAGGCCCCTGCAGCCCAGTGACAGTGACTTTGCCACTGAAAACACCTCAGGCACAGTGGGGACAGCGCGTCAAGAAGGCCAGGATCTTCCAGAGGACGCAGTGTCAGCTGAGTCCAGACTCTCCTGGAGGGAACAGCCTGTGCAAATCCTGTAGCGTGAGCAGCGGCCGGGGAGGGGGGCAGCCGGGCAGGCCTTCCTGAGCCGGGAAGGACGTGCCTGGCCGGGAGCTGCAGTGTGACCGGGGGGAGCGGGGGGGCGGGGAGGCCTAGAGGCAGGGAACTTGGGGTCCTAGGCTGGGGGGCTCAGTCCTCCATGCTGCCTCCTTCAGTAGGCGAGGCCATGCCCCCCAGGCTCTGGGAGGACCCTTCCTGCAGCCCCTGGTGGCCCCAGCCTTTCTCCATAGCCACCTCCGCTGTCACGTGGCCTGCGCTCCCTGCATCTGCGTCTCTATCCTTTTCTGTCTCTGGTAAGGACACTTGTCATAGAAAGTAGGCCCACCCTAATCCAGGACCGCCTCGTCTGGGGTTTCTTACCTTAATGACATCTGCAAAGACCAGGTGGGCCCATCTTTTGTGGGGCCCACCAGGCACCCCGCTATGTATGGAGACGTTAGTTTGGGTATTCATCCACTCGATAGATAATGGACACGCACCAGCAAGAGGGTCCCGAAGTCCAGAAGGACCCCTCCGCGCTGTGCCCTTCCCAACTTGATTCTCATGCAGTGTGCAGCACGTGGGCAGGGCAGTTAGGTGGTTTAGATGTGAATGCAAGCTCCCCTCACAGGACAAAGAGCATCTCCATCAGTCAGGAACCTGCTCCCCTGGGACTGTTGCCTGTCTCGGGCTGTCACCAACGTGCTGCTAAAAATATCTGTGTGCAAATTTTTGCGCACAGCTGCGAAGGATGCTGTAAAACAAATTCACAGAAACGGGATCCCTACTTCTTAGATTCCAGTGGACTCCTGGTTCCCACTGACCCACCCAGGGCGTGGCCATGTATGGAGGTGCTCGGGAGGAGCCCCCACCTCCCGGGCCCTGGCTCTGGATGCCCCCTCCTCCTGCATGTCCTCCAGCTGCGTGAGGAAAGGGGGGTCTCCAGCTGATTCCAGCTGGGCCCTGTCCCCCAAGGCCTACCCACACTGTGAGTCATGAGCAAAGCCAGCGGTCGGTATCCCCCTGAATTCGGTAGATAATGCACACAACTGGCGAAGCAACCTCAGGCAGGGACTTGACTCTGGCGTGACATGAGGATAATCATAGCCACCTAACTGGGTTCATTCCTCAAGGAATATCGACTGAGCACCTACGGGGTGCCAGGCACTGTTCTCGGCCCTGGGGATCCATGTGAAATAGCCAGTGCACAAGAGGGTTCCAAAAACGTAGGTTCCTCCCCCACTTTTCCTGTGTGTGCACTGCAGCTAAAAATCCTTCCCCTCTCTCCCAGCTAAACATCTCAGAGAAACCAATAATCATTTGCCAGGTAAAGACAAGTCAAAAGCTGTCACCTCCAATCAATGATCCCTCGGGCCGGGCCACTAGGCCAGAAGCTGCGGGCAACCTTGGGGGAGGCCCCATCCCTTTTACTGCCTCGTTGGAAAAGTGCCGTTTACTGGGTGATAAGAGCAGCTATTGCTCACAGCTCTGCAAACACATTAATGAGTAACTGGAATTTGGCAAGCGGTTGTTCATGTGACAAGAACAAGGTGCAGTTGTCCTTCTGTAGTTGTAAGTGGACCCAGAGCCCGAGACTCATCAGGGTCCAGACAACTGGAGGGGTTTCTAGCAGCCCCCTGCTGGTTCGTCACCAACACTGGTGCCAGCTCTGTGCTGGTGCTGGACACAGCGAATGCCGCCCCTGGCACTAGATCCAGCAGTGGTCACTGCAGAGGGGCAGGGCGCCCAGTGAGTGGGGGGAGCCTCCTGGAGTGGAGGGGGTGTCCAAGCCAGGCCTTGATGAGAGAGGAGTAGGCTCTGGGATGGGACTCTTGGGACTTGTTAGCAGGCACTTCTCTGGAAGCACCTCAATGTGTGGAGTTGGCTCCGCCTCCTGACCTTAGAAGGAGCCGTAGTCACAGCAGGGACCTGGGGTGAGAAAGCGTGTTTGGAGGGGCCAGCTCTGTGGCAGAGGATGCTCTGTGCTTAGCTGCAGGGCCTGGTGCACACATGCTCAATGACTTAAATGGCTGGGACGGGGAGTGGATGGAGCTCAGGGCAGACTTGCGGGCCCCCGGGGGCGGTGCTGTGAGGGCCCTGACCCACATCCCCATCACCCAGATAAAAAGTGGGGGTGCAGAGTGGGGGTGCCCAGGTAACAGGGCTGAGAAGCATCTCCGCTGAGGACTGCAGGGGTCTCCGCTGAGCCCTTTCACTATTGTTTTGTTGCCATAACAACAAATGACTGCCTGGGGCTTAACTGTTTAGGATGCACTTTGACTTAGTTACAGATAGAATTGTGTCCCTGTCCTAACTCCCAAAACCTCAGAATGTGACCTTTTTGGAAACAGGGTCATTGCAGATATCATAAGTTAAAGGGAGGTCACTGGGGTGGGCCCTAACCCGGTGACTGGACACAGTCATGTCCACAGGGAGAAGCCAGGCGAGGACGAAGGCAGAGGTGGGGTGATGCATCTGTGATGGAAGGAGCACCAAGGACTGCCTGCAAAGCCCCGGAAAAGCGGGGAGGGGCTGGAAGCAGGGGGAACCAGCCCTGCCTGCACCTCCGTCTAGGACTTGCGGACTCCAGAACTGTGAGATTAAATTTCTGTTGTTCTGAGCTGCCCCGGAATCTCATACATGGTGAGCGCCATGATCAGGCCCTGGGCGCCCACGGGGAAAAGCCCTGCGGACACACTGGACGCCGAGCGATGCAGAGATGTCCGTGTGACCTGCCAGGACGTGCCAGTCCGCCTGTCCTGGGACTTGTGGTGGACCGAAGCTGTGTGTCCTTGGGCGAGTTGCTGAACCTCTCTGAGTTTCCATTTCCTCATCATAACGAGATGACGGCTAGGTCTCCGCCTCTGGTTGCTGTGAGGGTCAGAGGGGCTGGGATTGGAGGGGGACCCTCGGAGCAAGGGGGCTCCCACGCGGCCGGGCGGGGCCTCGCGGCGAGGGGCGGGATCGGGCCGGGGGCGGGGCCTCGCGGCCAGGGGAACCCGCGACGCCGGACGCGCTCGGCGCTCGCGCGGGGCCTGCTCGGCGCTCGCCTGGCCGGCCTGCGTACGGCGCGTCGCGCTCCGGGGCTCCGGCGCCGCCATCATGTCGACGGCTATGAACTTCGGTTCCAAGAGCTTCCAGCCGCGGCCCCCGGACAAGGGCAGCTTCCCGCTGGACCACTTCGGTGAGCGGCGGGGCCCCGGGCCTTGGGCGCCGGCGGAAGCCCGAGGGCGGGCCGGGCCGTGCGGGGCCGCGGGGGGCCCGTCCGAGCGTCTCGTGAGGAGACGGCCCGTCGTGAGGTAAAGCCCGTGGAAGCCTCCCGCTTGTTCAGCGCGGGGCGTCACGGAGCGGCGGGGCTGGCCGGCGTCTTTCTCTGCAAACTTCCAAACACGGCCGCTCCCCGCGTGTTTCTCGGGGCCGCGGGCTCGGAGGGGGCAGCCCCGCCGCGCGTCGCGCGCGCGTCGCGCGTTCGCTCCCGAACGAGAACGCTGCCTTCTGTTTCGTCCTAGGTGAGTGTAAGCGCTTCAAGGAGGCGTTCATGAAGTGCCTGCGTGAGAATAACTCTGAAAACGCTTTGTGCAGAAAGGAGTCCAAGGAGTACCTGGAATGCAGGATGGAGAGGCAAGTGCGCGCGGCGCGACCCGCGACCCTCGCCGGGCGGGTGGCCCGGGGGCGGCGTTCCGGGGGCGCGTCCTGTCCCAGGCGGGGCGCTCCTGACGCGCCGGCGAAGGTCGGGGTCCTGCGCCACGCAAACGCGGACCGAGCGACAGGCGGGCGGCTGTGGGCGCAGCCGGCGGCTTTCACCCGCGCGGACCGCGGGCACGCGCGCTTGTTGGTCCCGCGTGGCCTCGGGGCCCTTCGGAATGGGACGGGGAGGCGGCGGGCCGCGCAAGAGACGACGCAAGGCCAGCGGGGCTGTGTCTTAGTGCGAGGTCGCCGCAATAACGCCGCATGGCTGTGGCCCGAGGAATCGGGGGTGCGTGAGTAGTCACGCGGGGCCATGAGTTCGGTGCTTCTAGGGCGATGGCGGTGGGATGAGTGGCCGGGAGGAAGGAGCTTCCCATGAAGCGTCCAGGGCGACCTGAACGGCTCAGCCCCTGGGAAACGCTTACCAGGAAATGGGTCGTTTTCTCGGTCCGTTCCGCGCTGACGCGGGGCGTGGAAGCCGTCCGGTGAGAGAAGGACGCGCTGAGTGTTACCGCCGCCACGTCTAGCGACTTCGCCGGGGACCTGGATTTTACAGAGACGCACAGATTGGCAGGAAGAGGGCGGCCCGGCCCACACCTTCCTTGACGTGCAGTGCGTTCCTCCTCGTCCCTTCGTCGTGCTGCTGTCACCGCGGTGCCGGGAAGAGCAGCCGAAGGAGACCCCTCACCAGGTGGCTCCGTCACCACAAGTGCGTCGCCTCACCTCTGCGGGGCGAAGTCTGACACCCGGTGCTGGAGCCGCGGGCTCGGCAGGGCTGGTCCTTCTGGAGGCCGCGCCTGTTCCCCGTCTCAGGCCTTTTCCAGCCTTTTCCGAGGCACCGCGTCCCCGGCTCGTGGCGCCGCCCTCCCGACAGCCCCCTCTGACCAAAGCTGGCGGAGGCCCCCGGTTTTAGGGGTGCGTCTGGATCGCCCCAGAACCAGCTTGCTTCCCCGCTGCCTGGTGAGGTGCCAGGCTCCAGGGGTGAGGGCGCCGTCTGGGGTCGTTGTTCTGTTGGCCACAGCCAAGCCTCAGGTCAGTCTTAAGAACTGTTGCTCAGGCGTGCTCCCTGCCGAGATGTGGTGAAAGCCTGTCGTCGTCGGCCTCCCGCGGGTTCAAGGAGTGTCCTGTGAGCCCACGACTGTGGAACTCCTGTGCTGCCCGACTGGGCTTTGGCGTTCTGGGGACGTCTTCCTGAGGGTTAGGTGACAGACCTCAGGGGGTTGTTGGCCTGCCCCTCGCAGCCGGTGATGCGCGCTCACCCCCGCACTCGGCCCCTCCACCGGTCAGGGGCACTGGGCTTTGGGGTCTTCTGCTGGCTCTTCACCAGCCAGCACGCAGAGCTCAGAGGCCACGTGAGGGGGCTGCTACCGGTAGGGTGGCGTGGCACCCACTGTCCAAGCCTCAGCCCACCTCGGCGTTTCAGCTGCCTGCCCGGTGGCCCACAGGCATTCGCTGTTGAGGCAAGTAAGTCTCGGTGACAGTTGCTTTTTAAGCCCTGTAAGGACTTAAAAATGATGGTTCCTCAGGCATCTCTGCGTCCCTACCACCCCAACATCTGTGTCCCAGCTCCAGGCCTCCTTCCAGGCCAGATTGCCACCTTTCCCATGAAACTTCCTGTTGGGGGCCTCCTTTGTCGGGAGCTTCCCAGGTGTAATCTCGAACCAACCGCAGAAAGAGGCAGGCCACGCCAGCTTGGCAGGTGGCAGGTTAATAAGCAGGAGATTTACCTACCAGGCTGCAGGAAGTAGTTTTCCATGCCTGCCTGCCAGGATCTTAAAAGCACGTAGAGGGGGCCAGCCAAGCGGTCAGTTGGTTAAGAGTGTGAGCTCTGAGCAACAGAGTCGCCGGTTCGATTCCCACATGGGCCAGTGAGCTGAGCCTGAGCTGAGCTGCCAACAGGTGGCAGGATGGCTCAGCTGGTGAGAGCACGTGCTCCTAACAACAAGGTTTGCGGTTCGACTCCCACATGGGATGGTGGGCTATGCCCACCTGCAACTAAGATTGAACATGGCACCTTGAGCTGAGCCGCACTGAGCTGCCAACGGGCGGCCAGATGGCAACTGGACTTGGGGCTGAGCTAGCTGCGCCCTCCACAGCTAAGATTGAAGGACAACAACTTGGCTGTTCCCCTCCCTCAATTCCACAACACTGTTCCCCTTCCCCGATTCCCCAATTGAAAAAAAATAAAAGTACATAGAGTACTTCACGGGAGTCAGCCATGCACCCTGTCCAGATGGTCATCACCACATTTCTGCCTTGGCCGCGTCCTCGGGCAGATTCTGAGTGGGGAAGCGAAAGGGAGTGTGTATTCCAAGCCCGGGGAGATGAGGGCGTGCTGTGGGGAGCCTCCAATCGCCCAGGCCCGGCTTGCGCATCAAACTAGCAGTCGTCGTCTTGACCTTCCCAACACTTCCTGGTTTTCCAGACAGGAGAGGGACGCCCTGTCCTCCGAGCTGACGTCACAGTTGGTATTGGCTGGACTCTGGTTGGTTTTATCGAGTGTGCCCTTCTGGCCCCGTCACTGCTGCTTTGGGCACGTGAGCAGGCGAGAGAAGCCTGCACCCTGGGGCTGAGCCCCGGCCTGAGGGGCAGAGACAGGCGGAGGCACCAGCGCCAGGAACACAGTGCCCGCTGCTCAGGAGGCCCATGCAGCTTGCCCAGTGCCCTGGGGACACAGGCAGATAGCGTCGTGCGGCCGATAAGCACACTTTATTTTTAAGTGGACTCTGGCTTTTTGTAGTGGGAGTTGTCAAGCACACACAGGAGTAGAGCAGTGCAGCTCTCACCTGCAGCGTCAGTAATGGCAAACATCCCTCATTTCGTTCATCTCCCCCCTCGTTATCGCCACTGGTGAAGTCTTTGAAAGCACCTCTCAGACACCCTAGCTGTTTAGTTTTCCGGATGGGGACAGCCTGTGGGAACTCGGGATAGCAGGTCATTCCCCAGAGCCGTTTTGTGTTTCTGCAGAAGTGTGGCTGGCTGGCACTGGGCCCACAGAACCTCAGAATTGTGCTGTCTGTGTCTCACTGCATTCCTAGGTTTCTGTCGTGCAGGGGTGGGGGGTGGGGAGGGTCTGGGTCTGCGCGTCCTCACCTGCTGCGGTTGTGGGGCACATGTGCTCCGCGGTGGGAGCTGGGTTGTCAGTGATGGTGGCCAGTGTGTGGCAGTGCACCCCATGTTCCCGGCACGGGGCAGGCAGTTCTTATCTTCTCCCAGCACGTCCGGGAGGTGAGCAGGAAGGCCCCTGAAAGCTGGTGTCATCCACTGCCACCCCCAAACAGAACCACAAACCAAGCTTTGTCCTGGGAGCACAAGCGATGGGGGCAGAAGGGAGGCTCTGGGAGCTCGGCACGGTGCCGTGCAGGCCTCTTGGACTTTGTGGCTCTGACCTGAGTGGACGCAGCGGGAGGCCAGGTCTGACGCACCACTCGGTACCGCTCGGGGGGACTGACGGCAAGGGAACAGCCTCACGCGGCCCTGTGGACACTATCCCCATTCTCTTCCCCATCCACCTTGACAACTGTCCCTTTTTCTTTTAGGCAACTGATGGCACAAGAACCACTGGAAAAACTGGGATTTGGAGATTTGATAGATGGAAAATCAGAGACAAAAACTAAGTTTTGATGGGAAGAAGACTGCTGGGCTCTGTCGGGGATCATCTGGGACAGAGTGGTGGCACTAACTTTGACACCCTGATGGTGTCCCTCCGAGGTGGTGTGACTGACAGAGGGGCGCCCAGGTGCCCTGGAATCGTCTCATGAAATCAGAATAGACACACCTCCTTGGTGGGCACACGACTGGGGGCGTGGCTCATGCTCTGAAACCCCCAGATTAGTTTGAAAATTATCCTTCTTTTTAGATTCTCATTTCCTCCCAAGTGTGTTAAGTTTGATCTTTAAATCCTTGTGACGGAGTCCCTGGGAGGCCCATGACGAACAGGAGGGGAGAGTGCTGAGGAAGATCTCATTAGTGAGTGGACAGCTCGGGTCACCTGCGAAATGGTGGCTTTATATTATTATACTCTGAACATATTTTCAGTACCAGCATGCTAAATGTTCATGAATTTTAGCCTGTTATGTAGACAGATGTCATCAGAAAACTATTCCCTAGCAAAATGGTTTTCTTTCCTTTTTTTTCCCTTAACTAGAAAGTAAGAAATGGTCTGGCTTTTGACATGTTTGACTTCTCGATCTTTTTCTGGCAATGCCTGAACACCACGTATCTTTCTAATCACAGGGTCATGTTCTGATTTGTATCAGACTGTGTTTATAAAACTACGTGTTTACTTTCAATAACTCATTTGTTGTAGCTCTGAAGAACAGAATGCCAGTGCATTTGCAGTTGGACTTACACAGTACCGTCCAGTTTTTTCCCCAAGAACAGCCAGGATTTCTGGGGGGTTTTGGTATTTGACCAGGGTTTAGAACCACGAACAGAACGCAGAGTGCGTGTGGGTCTGGGCCTGCCTGCCCTCGAACCTGTCCCCCCTCCCTGGCTCCTGGTCAGCTGGCTTTTGTCCCAGTGTGGCCAATGGAAGATGGTGATGGGAGAATCTTGGGCATGTCCTTTTGGACAGCAGCCCTGGCGGTGGCTGCGTCTTCTCCAGGCTCTCGCAGGTGGGAACAGCTGACTTTGACCCAGGCCGGCCTGGGCTCCGGGAAATCACTGCCCTCCACTCCTCAGCCACGGGTGGTAGGGTGTCTCTCTGCCGTGTCCAGTTCTCTGTGTTAATGTCCTATTTTCAGTCCTGCAGTGATGGACGTCTCTTGGTGAGACCCTCCCTGAATTGAGTCCCTCCCACTTGGCACCATTCGCCACATTGATGGTGTGGCACCAACTGCTCCTGTCTGCAGCTGGTCACTGTTCATTGTTTGGTCGCTATTGGAAACCTTTGAGGAGACACTGCAGATGTTTTGCATATTGTCTAGTTTATGAAAAGTCTTGGTTTTTATCACCAAACCAAACTGAGCCGTCATCTATTTCGTATTTTTCAACAGCATAAAATTACATACGCTCAGTTATTGATTCTAGTTTGTTTGTAGTTACACACCGTGAAGAGACCCAAGTGCCCTTCCGTACGAGTGCTTGAGTAAACGCTCGTCCACACAGTAGGCACGTGCAGTGCAGAAAGGAATGGGGACAGTGAGGGCACATCTCAGCTGACATGGAGTGACTTCGACCCACGAACATACTGTTGAGTGAAAACAGCAGAACCCAAAAACGTATCTGTAGTATGTTAAAAAGAAAAAGATGAGGGCTGACCGAGTGGCGCGATAGTTAGGAACTGGCTTGGGACACCACAGGGCCCCAGTTCGGGTCCCACATATGAGGGCCAGTGACACTGCCCTCCACAGCTGAGATGCTGAACGGCAGCTCAACCTGGAGCTGGGTTGCCGTGAGTTGCCGGCGACGTTGTAGGCTGCAGCCCCTGTGGCAGTGGGTTGCCGTGGGCTGCCATGTGTTAGCCAGCAGCCGGTGTGGGTGGCCAGCGGCTGCGGTGAGCAGCCATCCAGAGGCCGGCGACTGGTGCCTCACCCGGGAAGAGCGCAATGATGGTGCCAACTTGGGTCAGTGAAGCAACATCCTCCACAACTAGACTGAAGAACAAAAGCGACAGCAACTTGTCTGTTTGTCTGTTCCCCTTACCCCGATTCCCCAGCGTTGTTCCCATCCCCCAATTCCCCAATAAAAATCTTAAAAAAAAAAAAAAAAAGAAAGAAAAAGATTAAGGAACTCGAGAAATATCTGTGTATTTGTACAGAAAAGAAACTCAAAACACACCAGAAACTAGTGAGAAGGATCACTCACATTCATGTCCAACATGCTCGAAAAATAATCCAGGGAGTTGGGACCCAGAATGGAACACCAGCACCATATTACAAATGCAAACTTTGCACTGAGGGGAGTGGGAGACAATGGCTGAGTGACTTTGGAAGCAGGGTTTTGACCAAAGCTAGAGACAAAAAGACAAGATTTTGTGCCCTATTTAGTGAGTTTGTTTTTCACATGGACAGTGTTCTGGAACTATGATCAGACTGAAAAAGCTAGAGGTATGCTGGGGGTAAGAGCTGGCTGTGTCCAGCCGGTTTGCTGATGCAGGACAGCAACTAGACACAGAAGTAGACCGGCGTGCGCGGGCGTCTCCATGCACGTTTCCAGCTTAGCACAGCTTGGAAGCCGTGAGACCCAGTAGCAAGGGGCACACCCAGCTCCCGGATCCTGGGTTCCAACACCGTCTCCAGCAAAAGGACGGCCCTTGAAACAGCTGACTCCAGGGCCAAAGCCAGGAGAGCCCAAGGTGAGCCTGGACCACCTCGTGTCTAAAGCAAGGAATTGCAGAAAAACTAATGGCACGTGTTTAAAACCAGGAGGCCCCGTAGAGGCACTCCCAGTGGCCCAATCTGGGACACTGAGTAATGACAGGAAGACAGTAATGGGTTATTGCCCTCGGAATAAAGTACTGCCCCAGAGTTGGTACTGATGCAAATCGCTAAATGATGGAGCTGGCGGGAGAGGCACAGCTCCCGAGGGGATGAGCCACCGCTGGCAAACGCCGCAGTAACAACGGCAGATGGTAGGTTAGGGGCGGTGTGTGATGTGGACGGGGTGTGGCTGGTGCTGAGGACCTGCGCTCAAGTGCTTAGTGATTACTAAGGGGACAAGAAACGTACAGTGTGGTCACCGTAACCAACTGTAACTTGGGAGGGAGACCTCCCCACAGCTGGTACCCCCACCTGGTGCTCCAAGGAGGCACAGCATCACTTCTGTGGGGCTTTTTTGCCAAGAATGCATAACCTTCATCTACTGAGGAACCTTCTACAGATGAGGACCAGTGCTCTTTAGAAGTGTCACAGCCCTGAGAGACACACTGAGGGGCTGTCCCAGACATGAAGCTTTGGGAAGGGGCAGTGGGCAGGACCCCAGCTCTGGGATCTTGGATGCATGTTATATGATTACGTGAGATGTTATTTGGAGAAGTGGGCACACGGACTTTGTCCTACTTTTGCAGCTTTTTGGAAGTCTGAAGTGACTGAAAACACATTTTGTATCAAACCAATTGTAGTTGAACTTTATATACACGATTGAGCTCTCGTTCACCTTCAGTGAACTGCGAACAGGGCAATGCAGGCACAAATGGTCTGGGAGGACAGGAGGAAGAGGAGCAGTCAGAAAATAGCTGGGGGTGGCGGTGGTGCGGGTGGGGAATGCTGACCTCCCAAAGGGGCAGCGGCTTCCTGAGCTGCCTCTGACCCTGCCTGCCCCTGCTAAAGCGGCCACTGTGTGTTTTTGGTAGTCCATCACTTGTTCTATAAAGGACGCGTTTTCTTTCTCATGTACACTTGTTGGGATATGCAACAGTGTTATTAAAAGGCGCCCAAAGGCGATTTCATGGACATTTTCCAAATCCTCTCCTGAGGCAGGAGCGATCAGAGGTCAGGCAGCCGTGCTCCAGCCTGGGCCCTCCGTGGTCTGGCTCGCTCCAGCCCCCGGCCTCATCCACACGGGTCTTTTTGGGGAGCTCAGGTGCAGGGCTGCGTCCCTCGACTGCCAGTGATGTGCCAGCCTTCAGGAGCAAGCCAGAGCTCCCCGTCCTGAAGCGTTCTGTAAAGCCTCCTGCCACTGCTCTGACCAGGCAAGCCACAAACTTGGTGGCTTAACAAGTTCATCGTGGTACAGCCTGGAGAGGGGGGTCTGGAGTGTGGGGGAACGCTTCCTGCCTTTTCCACCTTCTAGAGGCGCCCGCGTGCCTTGCCTTTCTGTGTCCCTGCTCCTCCTCCCTGACCTCTGCCCTGTCCTCATCTCTCGGACTCGGGTCTCCTGTAAGGACACCCACCGTGACGCCCTTGCCACCTGATTGCCCAGGACCACCTCTTATCTCCACATCCTTCATCACACCTGCAGGATGACTCAGGCTTTGGGGACAAGGCCATTCGTTCATTCCTGTGCCCAGTGCTCTGCCCCAGACGGAAGGCCACTGGCCGTAATCGGGAGGGTCCCTGAGCAACTCAATGTGTTTCCCTGCCCCCCCCCCCGCAGCTGTTGGGTTTCTCCTGATTCTCAGCAACCCAGTCATGGATGGCGCCCCCTCATGGCTGCGTGTAAGTCCATGTTCCCCTGAAATCTGGCACTTGCTTGGCTGGCAAATGACAGAAAGGGTGGGTGTGCGCTTCCAATCAACAGGCTCAGAAAGTCAGAACAAGCCACCGCATGTGTGAACGGCTCCAGTCTTGTGAATTGTCTGCTGCCTGGACAGTTCTAGTTTCTGTTGACAAGAGACACGTCTGGAGTATGTCCGTGACACCCATCACCAGGCGGTGTAGCTGACAACACGTGGCTTTCCTCACGTATTTAATAACAAGCGTGTCTTGTTTTTATAGAAACAATAAAATCATTAGTTTAAAGAAGCTCGTTGTGTTTCTGTGTAATTTTACATCTATAAATTATGTGCCTGTGGTTACAGTTTTATATTGTCCATAAATACAGCCCAGTGTATTCTTCCTGGTAAAACTGCGCTGTTTACATGTTGGAATGCAGGGTGGCGCTTGCTGGCTTCCACAGAGCGCAGGGCGGGCCTACGGCTCCTGGAGTGGGGGACTGTGGGGTCAGGTCTTGTTCCCCAAGGACTGCTCGCGTAGTCATGGAGCCAGCCCTCAGCGACCTCCCCGTCCGTGGGCCCGCCTTACGCTGGTCTTCCTGGGAATGAGCTGCCTGTGGTGTCGGTCGTTCCGCCCACCTGGTGCCTGGAGTCAGCCTTTCAGTGACCTTAGATGTGTATGGATGAGAAAGCAGGGGTTTTATTACTGCAACAGCCATTAAAGAGCGTCCTGTTAGGCCAGGGAACACTTGACTTGGTCATAATACTGTCAGTAAAATTACGAGTCTCCAGTCTGGGGGAGTGGAACCGAACTCCACAGCTGCGTGCCACTGTGCATGGCAAAGTTAGGGGCGCCTTCCCTGGAGAAGGGTCCGCCTGATCAGGCGCTGGTCAGTCTGGCCGGGCTCCTGCGAGAGGCCCGGGAGGACACTCCCCACCAGCTTACTCACTAGGGGGCACACCGTGGCCGTGCCCACCATGCTCTGCGGCTTGTGGGGTGCTCGGGAAGGTGGGAGTCGTGGCACGTCTGTCCCTGCTGTGGGGCTGCTTTAGGACACTCCGGAGCAGGACCTTGGGCGAGCTCGACCAAATGCTCAAGGCCCCTCCTGACGTTGGACTTGTGGGGCTGCAGTGGTCAGGAGCAACCGGCCGGTCAACGACCCTGCAGACGAGCAGGCTGCCCCCAAAGTCACAAGAATTTATCAGCCACAGAGCAGGCGCCCTGGGCTGGGACTGGACAAGCCAGCACCTAGGGAC